TGTTTTCATGTATGAGGTTCTTTGCCCAACTCATTGGATAAACATTAGCTTCTCTTTTTTTAAATAGGCTGCAAAGGAAACCTTTCACCACTCTGAAAGTTTGGATGGTATTATGTAACCACGTTTGTATATACCAAAGAAAAGGAAACAAGTTGTTTCATAAAGGAGATTTTTGGCTTATAATTCTTGAATACATAACTTGCAAACTGCTATTTTCCTACATTAAGGGACGATTTATTCTTGGTATCTAGAAAGGATTTGACTTTTGTCCCTGGTTACTTTAGATATTTTCTTATATGATCAGTAAAGAACGAAGCTTGTCTCCATTATTAATGTGTCTTGGTTAAATAGTATGAGCTCTTTCTTACATGCTGAGCTTCTTGGGGACAGGAGGAGGAATAAGAATTTCTACTTGAAGGCCGGGCGCGGTGGCTCAAGCCTGTAATCCCAGCACTTTGGGAGGCTGAGGCGGGTGGATCATGAGGTCGAGAGATCGAGACCATCCTGGTTAACATGGTGAAACCCCGTCTCTATTAAAAATACAAAAAATTAGCTGGGCGTGGTGGCACGTGCCTGTAATCCCAGCTACTTGGGAGGCTGAGGCAGGAGAATTGCCTGAACCCAGGAGGCGGAGGTTGCGGTGAGCCGAGATCGCGCCATTGCACTCCAGCCTGGGTAACAAGAGCGAAACTCTGTCTCAAAAAAAAAAAAAAAAAAAAAAAAAAAGAATTTCTACTTGAAAACATATTATATTAGGAAAGATAAACACCAAAACAGGCCGGGCACGGTGGCTCATGCTGATTAATCCCAGCACTTTGAGAGGCTGAGGAGGGAGGACTGCTTGAGACCAAGTGTTCGAGACTAGCCTGGGCAACACAGTAAAACTCTGTTTCTACAACAACCACAACAAAAAATTTTAGCTGGGCTTGGTGGTGCACGCCTGTAGTCCCAGCTACTCAGGAGGCTGAGGTGGGAGGGTGGCTTGAGCCCAGGAGGTGGCTGCTGCAGTAAATTGATGGCACCACTGCACTCTACCCTCAGTGACTGAGACTTTGCTCAAGGGGTAAAAAACGAAAAAGTATAGGGGAAGATATATGTAGGTTATATACAAATACTATGCCATCTTATACAAGGGACACGAGCATCTATGGATTTGGGTTCTGCGGGGTTCCTGGAATCAATCCCCTGCAGATGACGAAGGGAGGAATGACCGTATAAATTCCTGGTCAATGCGACAGCTGAAAGAAGCTAGAACTTTAAGGTTTATTTCTTAGATGGTGCATAGTTGAAAACCATCTCATTAAAATACTACTCATTTTCCTTCTGCGAACCAGTACTACATGAATAAACTGCAGTAAATGGACATTTGTTCAAACCAATAAATATCGAGTTCTGATGTGTGCTTGGCCCTGGGGACACAACAGTCAAGACAGACTTGGCAGCTGCCTTCAAGGAGTTTCCTGTCTGGCAAGGAAGATCTTGACAGGCAGGAGTCTGCAGGTCTTAAAGGCTTTGGAGAAACTGAAATCTATCCCTGTGAACAAGAATAAACTTGATCTGTATTTTCATGCTGTCTACTTTTAAAAACACCTTTCTGGCCTTAATTAATGCTAAAGGAACATAGAAATCACAAGATTTTATAACTAGAAGGGACTACAGAACTTATTTGATTCTATTAATAATGTTACAATTTGGGAAACTGTGGCTCAGGGATAGAAATGGATTTATCTAAGGTCATACAGCTAATTAGTCATTTCTATACAACACAGTGTGCAAGGGAAATAAGTGTTTTGCTGGCCAGTCATGATCACACCTCTTTACAGAGGCCCAAAGGACTAGCAGCATTTTTGTTTTCCAGTTTTTCTTTTTTTTTTTTTTGAGACAGAGTGTCGCTCTTGTTACCCAGGCTGGAGTGCAATGGCACGATCTCGGCTCACCGCAACCTCCGCCTCCGGGTTCAAGCAATTCTCCTGCCTCAGCCTCCTGAGTAGCTGGGATTACAGGCACGCGCCACCATGCCCAGCTAATTTTTTGTATTTTTAGTAGAGATGGGGTTTCACCACGTTGACCAGGATGGTCTCGATCTCTTGACCTCGTGATCCACCCGCCTCGGCCTCCCAAAGTGCTGGGATTACAGGCTTGAGCCACCGCGCCTGGCTTTTTTTTTTTTTTTTGAGACAGAGTTTCCCTCTTGTTGCCCAGGCTGGAGCTCAGCGGTTCAATCTTGGCTCACTGCAACCTCTGCCTCCCAGATTCAAGTGATTCTCCTGCTTCAGCCTCCCGAATAGCCGGGATTACAGACACCTGCCACCACACCCAACTAATGTTTTGTATTTTTAGTAGAGACAGGGTTTCACCATGTTGGTCAGGCTGGTCTTGAACTCCTGACCTCTTGCTGCCTCCCAAAGTGCTGGGATTAAAGGCGTAAGTCTTGTTTTCCAGTTCTGACACTATCAGGATCAAGTGCAGAGGGGCCTCTGCAGCCAAGGCCCCTCAATCTCGAACCCCTACACTGGGGGTTGAGTTACATTGCTATGGGTTTTCCAGTATCCCCAATATCCCTTCATAACACATGCCATGCTTATCATTCTTGATTAACATCTGTGGCTGTGGTGAAGAGAATGGAATGAAGGCAGCAATGGTGGCTGCAGGAGACCAATCAGGGACTAGTCCAGGTGTCAATGATGGAGAAGGACAGAAGTTGATGAACTGGCCGGGCGCGGTGGCTCAAGCCTGTAATCCCAGCACTTTGGGAGGCCGAGGCGGGTGGATCACGAGGTCGAAAGATCGAGACCATCCTGGTCAACATGGTGAAACCCCGTCTCCACTAAAAATACAAAAAACTAGCTGGGCGTGGTGGTGCATGCCTGTAATCCCAGCTACTTAGGAGGCTGAGGCAGGAGAATTGCCTGAGCCCAGGAGGCGGAGGTTGCGGTGAGCCGAGATCGCGCCATTGCACTCCAGCCTGGGTAACAAGAGCGAAACTCCGTCTCAAAAAAAAAAAAAAAAAAAAAAAAAAAAAAAAAAAAAAAAAAAATTAGCTGGGCATGGTGGCACGTGCCTATAATCCCAGCTACTCAGGAGGCTGAGGCAGGAGAATTGCCTGAACCCAGGAGGCGGAGGTTGCGGTGAGCTGAGATCGTGCCATTGCACTCCAGCCTGGGTAACAAGAGTGAAACTCTGTCTCAAAAAAAAAAAAAAGAAGTTGATGAACTGGAGAGTTTGTTGTTGTTTATTTGGAGACAGCCTTGGTCTGTCACCCAGGTCGGAATGCAGTGAATGATCACAGCTCACTGCAGCCTTGAACTCCCCCAATCATCCCACATAGCCGAGATAGGGACAGCTTTTTCTGGCCGACCTTTATTTGAAGCAAAAGCTAAATTTCACTAACTCCTCTTCAGATATTACAAATGAATTTGTGCTATCAGCTCTGATGTCTCTAAAAATTAAGCATCTACTTGATCAGTCAATATAGTTTTGTTCACAATTTTCATATCCTTTTAGTTACAAGCTTCTCTTAAAGAAAGAGAAATGAAAATAATGGAAATGGGGTAACTGCGTAGTACTGACTACCAGCTTGTGTTTTATTACTTAAAATTGAATGGAAAGGAAGAAGAAACTAGAACCTAAGACCACAGTTTCTAGGAGAAGCTACGAAAAGAAGGACACGCAGATCATTGCTGAGTGAGAAATGTGGTTAGATAATGGTTTTCTGTAAAAGCGAACTTGGAAATTTCCCGACATTTGTATTGAACAATTGCCAACGACTTTTTACACGCATCATTAAGGCTTACTTTATCATTTTAAATGACAGGAGTCAAACAGGATGAGATCAGGAGTCAAATCACATTGTGAGCTCCATGAAGGCACAGATCACTCATCTAACAACCAGAACCTAACCTACAACACGGTGACACGCCTGAATCGAATCAGCTCAATTTTCTCATCCCTGGTGCGTTTCTTTTAAATTCAGGAGAGAGAGAGAGAGACAAAAGGCATCAACCCCTTTCTCTCAAAACAAGGAAAGGGTCTAAAAGTCTTTGAAATGGGGGTCTCCAGCCAACCCCTACGATGATAACTGCATTAAGGAATGAGGGATACCGGCGAGAAAAAAAATAAAACAAACCCAAAGCATTATTCTGACGACTATAAACAGCCATCCTATTAGCGATAACTAAAGAGAAAGCTGGGGAAAGTTAAAGGCAAAGTGATAAATGGATGGCAGCTCTCAGTCTCATAAAGGCCACCTGGAAGAGTCTTAACTGACTCGGGACAAACGCAAACGCTCCCGCCCTGGGGCCGCTGTGGCCTAAGCGTGGGACCGGAGCGTGTTCCTCAGATATAGTCAGAAGCTCCCAGTGGGTAAAGCTGCCCCCGAGCGGCGTCTCGCAGCCCAGGGCTCTGACTCCCACCCCTGCGCCTACACCCTCCCCTCTCCCCGGGGGCACGCCAGACCCCTCCCTTCCCTCGACCCCTCATTTCCGTCTCCCAGTGGCCCGGGCTGCCCATGACACAGTCTTTCCCACTCCCCAAACCTTCGCTTCTCCATCCCCGCCTTTACCGCTCCTCCAGTCAGCCGTCGAGCGTGCCGCCTCGCACCTCACGCCAGCTGCAGCCCCGCCGCCACCGCCACCACCACCACCACCACCGCCGCCGCCGCCGCCGCCGCCGCCGCCACCGCCGCCTCCGCCGCCTCCGCCGCCTCCGCCGCCTCCGCCGCCTCCGCCGCCCACTCACACAGCTACCAGGCGCCCGGTCGGCGGCTTTTCAGCCGCCACTTCCCCGCCCCCTCAGCCCGCCAGCACCAATCAACACCCTGCTCGCAGTCTGACCAATCGCCTTCTCTCGCCACAACCAATCCTTCCGCGGGCTCCCCCTGAGCGACGTGGCTGCTGCTGGGCACTGCCCAATTACTCGGATGGAATCCAAAGCCGGCCCGCCCTGTCAGCCAATAAGATCCAGGAAAAGCAGATGTTGTTCATTGAGGCCTCACCTGCTGAGAATTAAACAGCCAATTAGAAGCTTCCCGGCGTCCTGGCGGACCACCTCTAGGCCAATTACCGAGGAGTTTTCTACCTTCTAACCCACCGGGAAAAAGCGGCTGGGACCGAGGCGTGAGAGCGTTGAATCACGCGTGTCACCGTTCTCACAAAATTGGTGTCTTTGTACAACGACAGTGCCACAACATAACTCAGTGACCATCGGGAGAGCAGCCTCATCATGGGCGATGCTCCGTCAGTTGTTTCTCTTGAGATCTTTTGCGTAGCTCGGTCCTGCCCCGCATGTGGCGACCGGGACTCAAGAGACACGGAAAACGTTTTCTGTTTTGGAAAACATGAAATACGCTTTGTAGATGGCGAGGAGGTCAAGGGACAGGCGGTGCGCCGCAGAGAGCGAGGACCCACTCTTGTATTCCTCTGCGGAGGAGGCACGGACACACCGTGTGGCCCGAAACAGCGGCAGGAGACACCCGAGCTCCGACCGCCGTGGTGAGGGGGCTGCGGGCCGTGGGGGCGCCAGGGGCCCGTCCTTCCCTGGGGATTCGGGAAAACGGATCCAGGCGACAGCGTGAAAAGCCAAGCCGGGGGGCGTTTCTGTGGGGGCGAGGAAGGGAGCCGGTCTCTACAGGCGGCAGTTTGCTCTGGAAGATTGAATTCCAGACGCTGTCCTGGTCCCTGGACCGTTGAGATCGGTTGGGTCCTGCTACCGCCTCCGCGGGGCGGAGAGCCTCGCGAGCCCAGCCCTGCGCCCTGCTCTGTCCACCCTGTCCCCGCCCCGGGCTAGGGGCTCACCCTGGGGACAGGGGTCGGGCGCTCCTGGTCTTTGGGGGATCTTCTGCACTAGTTTCCATCACAATACCTGGCACGAGATGAGCAATAAACGTTTGCTGAAAGAACGCAGGATTGTATCTTTTGTCAATTAGGGACATGCCTTTGGGCCTCAGTTTTTGTTTCCTATTAATATAAAAATGTGTATGCGTTTTAAATAAGTAATAGGTTTACATTCTACAAAATTCAGAAGAAATAAGGTTATTAGAGTGAATTCATGTCTTTCCTCTTTCCTTCAAGGCAACCAGGGTTACCAGTTTTTTGTGAAAAATTTCACAAGATATTCCATAGTTAACGTGTGTATATGTAATATATAAAGTATATATTTCAACCCAGTTAATGACATACCTACTATTTTGCAATTTTCTTTGATATAGTCTGGAAATCCTTCCATAGCAGCATGTAAGTATCTGCCTCATAGTGATAGTTTCATAGTATGCCTGAGGGATGTATATGAAGATATAGTTAACCGGTCCTTTAACATTTTATTGATATGCAAGCATACTGCATTTCCCTCTTGCATATCTGTATGATAAATGCTTAGGGATGCAAGTGTCAAGTTTAAAAAGTGTGTGCATTGTTTTTTCATTTGGATAGATAAAATTTTGCAAATTCCCTTCCTCCCACAAAGATTTTTATAATTTTCATGCCACCAGCAATTTTTGAAAATGATTTTGGTTAGTATTACCAAATTGCCTTCCCCGGAAGTTTTACCAGTTTTGTCTCCCATCAGCAATGTATGAAAAGAACCTGTTTGATAGCACACTAGTGCTGTTAAATTTCTTGATTTTTGACAGTCTGATAGTGTAAATGGTATCTCGTTGCAAGATAAAATTTCATGGCTCTTATAGAGCATCTTTTAATATATTTAAATGGCAATTGTATTTTTTTTTTTTTTTTTTTTGAGACGGAGTTTCGCTCTTGTTACCCAGGCTGGAGTGCAATGGCACGGTCTCGGCTCACCGCAACCTCCGCCTCCTGGGTTCAGGCAATTCTCCTGCCTCAGCCTCCTGAGTAGTTGGGATTACAGGCACACACCACCATGCCCAGCTAATTTTTTGTATTTTTAGTAGAGACGGGGTTTCACCATGTTGACCAGGTTGGTCTCGATCTCTTGACCTTGTGATCCACCCACCTCGGCCTCCCAAAGTGCTGGGATTACAGGCTTGAGCCACCGCGCCCGGCCGGCAATTGTATTTTTTGGGTAAATTCTCTGTTTATATATACTGTTCATATTTTTATTGATTATAGTCTCATTTCTTTTCTTTTCTTTTCTTTTGAGGCAGAGTCTTGCTCTGTTACCCAGGCTGGAGTGTAGTGGCACAATCTTGGCTCACTTCAACCTCTGCCTCCCGGGTTCAAGTGATTCTCCTGCTTCAGCCTCCTGAGTAGCTGGGACTATGGGTGCCCGCCACCATGCCTGGCTAATTTTTGTATTTTTAGTAGTGACGGGGTTTTACCGTGTTAGCCAGGGTGGTCTCCATCTCCTGACCTCGTGATCTGCCCGCCTCGGCTTCTCAAAGTGCTGGGATTACAGACATGAACCACTGTGTCCAGCCTGTAGGGTCATTTTTTTTTTTTTTTTTTTTTTTTTTTTTTTTTTTTTTTTGAGACGGAGTTTCGCTCTCGTTACCCAGGCTGGAGTGCAATGGCACGATCTCGGCTCACAGCAACCTCCGCCTCCTGGGCTCAGGCAATTCTCCTGCCTCAGCCTCCTGAGTAGCTGGGACTACAGGCATGCGCCACCATGCCCAGCTAATTTTTTGTATTTTTAGTAGAGACGGGGTTTCACCATGTTGACCAGGATGGTCTCGATCTCTCGACCTCGTGATCCACCCGCCTCGGCCTCCCAAAGTGCTGGGATTACAGGCTTGAGCCACCGCGCCCGGCCCTATAGGGTCATTTTTTAATACGTGCTGTTTGTATGTAAGTTAAAAGTATTTTCCCGGCCAGGTACAGTGGCTCATGCCTGTAATCCCAGCACTTAGGGAGGCTGAGGCAGGATGAACACCTGAGGTCAGGAGTTTGAGACCAGCCTGGCCAATGTGGTGAAACCTTGTCTCTACTAAAAATACAAAAAATAGCCTGCTGTCATGGCAAGCGCCTGTAATCCCAGCTACTTGGGAGTCTGAGGCAGGAGAATCGGTTGAACCTGAGAGGCAGAGGTTGCAGTGAGCCAAGATTGTGCCACTGCACTCCAGCCTGGGTGACAGAATGAGACCATCTCAAAAAAAAAAAAAAAAAAAAATTCCGTTTTCCCAGTTTGTTCTATGTATATTGTTTACAGTGTTGTTTTTTTTTTTTTTTTTTTTTTTTTTGAGACAGTCTCTGTTACCAGGCTGGAGTGCAGTGGTACTATCTGGGCTCATTGCAACCTCCACCTTTGGGGTTCAAGCGATTCTCATGACTTAGCCTCCCAAGTAGCTGGGATTACAGGCACAGACCACCATGCTTGGCTAATTTTTGTATTTTTAATAGAGACTGGGTTTCACCTTATTGGCCAGGCTGGTTTCAAACTCCTGGCCTCAGGTAATTGCCCACTTCAGCCTCCCAAAGTGCTAGGATTTCAGGCCTGAGCTATTTATGGTTATTTGAAAATTTTAAAAATTTTTATGTAATTGATCAGTATTTTCTTTGACAATTTCTGAGTTTCTTTCTTTTTTTGAGACAGAGTCTCATTCTGTCACTTAGGCTGGAGTGCAGTGGCATGATCTCAGCTCACTGTAACCTCTGCCTCCCAGTTTCAAGAGATTCTTGTGCCTCAGCCTGAGTAGCTGGGATTACAGGCCTGCACTACCACACCTGGGTAATTTTGTATATTTAGTAGACTCAGAGTTTTGCCATGTTGGTCAGACTGGTCTCAAACTCTTGGCCTCAAGGGATCCACCCACCTTGGCCTCCCAAAGTGCTGGGATTATAGGCATGAGCCACTGCACCTGGCCAACTTCTGTGTTTCATATAATTTTTAGAAAAGTCTCCAGATACTTAAGATTATTCTCAAAGCTCCTATGTTTTTAAAAGTTACTTCGGAGCCGGGCGCTGTAATCCCAGCACTTTGGGAGGCTGAGGCGGGTGGATCACGAGGTCAAGAGATCGAGACCGTCCTGGTCAACATAGTGAAAACCTGTCTCTACTAAAAATACAAAAATTAGCTGGGCATGGTGGCGTGTGCCTGTAATCCCAGCTACTCAGGAGGCTGAGGCAGGAGAATTGCCTGAACCCAGGAGGCGGAGGTTGCGGTGAGCCGAGATCGCGCCATTGCACTCCAGCCTGGGTAACAAGAGCGAAACTCCGTCTCAAAAAAAAAAAAAAAAAAAAAAAATTACTTCGATGGTGTCTTTTTGGATATGTAAATATTTGATTCACTTGGAATTTATTTTGGTGTAAAGGTGTGAGGCAGAGATCCAACTTTGTTTTGTATTATTCAAATCCTTCTTATTGAATAACCCACATTTCCTCTCTTGGTTTTGAATGCTATCTTTATAATACCACATTGCCATATGTATTTGGGTCTATTTCTAGATTTTTCATTTTGTTCCATTGATCTATTTATTTAAAAAATTTAAAAAGTTATGTATATTATGTTTTTTTAACCACAGTTTAAAAAATTAGTGTACAATCTACATGCAGAAAAATGCACAAATGACAAGTGTGTATCTTGATGAATTTTCACAAATGGAATGCATTTGTGTAACCAGCAGGAGATCAAGAAACAGAACATTACTAGTGTCCTAGAAGCCACCTGTGTGTCCCCGTGCAGTCACTGCTCTTCTCAAGGACAACCACCCTTCTAACTCCTGATACCAGAAATGAATTTTGCCTGTTCTTGCTTTTTATATAAAGAGAATCACAGAGTATGTACTCTTTTGTGTCTGGCTTCCTTTGTTCAAACTATTTCTGTGAGATTCAGCCGTATTGTGAATAGTTTTAGTCCCTTCTGACTACTGTGTAGTAGTAATATTGTGGGGCTATATTGAACTATAATTTACGTTTCTATTCTGTTATTGTTATTTTGACTGGAATCACATATCCCTGGATTATCTAAAGTAGAATGTATGATATAGACTCTGCCTACACACTTAAGTCATTGGTACCCATCAGTAGAATTTTAGTTTTCATCATGTAGAATTTACATATTTCTTGTTAAAGTTATTCCTAGTATTTGAGTGCCTTGATTGCTATAGCTATTTTTACTTTTAAAAAGGCAAAATGGTAGTTCAAATTCAGGGTAAAATGTGTCCAGTTTTGCCATAAAACACAGACCTACTTTATGGGTCTATCTTCTAGCTCCAGTGAAGGCGGGATGGGCAAAAAAGAGGAAATGAAGTCCAAAAAGGGGGTTACACTTTATAGTTAAGCCACAAGAGGAATTTCTTTATTTCTTTTCTAAGACAGAGTCTTACTCTGTTGCCAGGCTGGAGGCAATGGCATGATCTCTACTCACTGCAACCTCCACCTCCAGGTTCAAGCGATCCTCTTGCCTCAGCCTCCCAAGTAGCTGAACTACAGACATGCACCACCATGCCTGGCTAATTTTTGTATTTTTAGTAGAGATGGGGTTTCATGTTGCCCAGGCTGGTCTCCAGCTCCTAGGCTCAAGGTATCCACCTGCCTTAGCCTCCCAAAGTGCTGGGATTACAGGAGTGAGCCAAGGCACTCAGCAGTGAAAAACCAAGTGGCATCCTTTTCCTGGAATTCTTCTTTTTTTTTTTTTTTTTTTTTTTTTTTGACAGAGTCTCACTCTACCATCCAGGCTGGAGTGCAGTGGCATGATCTCAGCTCACTGCAACCTCTGCCTTCTGGGTTCAAGCAATTCTCCTGCCTCAGCCTCCTGAGTATCTGGGATTACAGGCACACACCACCACACCCATCTAATTTTTGTATTTTTAGTAGAGACAAGGTCTCACCATGTTGCCCAGGCTGATCTCAAACGCCTGACCTCAGGTGATCCACCTGCCTCAGCCTCCCAAAGTGCTGCGATTACAGGTGTGAGGCACCATAATCTTATTTTAAAATAAGATTGATTTTATCTTATCTAAAAATAAATGACTTCTAACTTGTTGGGGAGCAGAAGGAATAACTTCAAGTTAGCTCACCCCTCACCCTCAAGTCACTCTACATTTGGGATTTATCATCTCATTCTCCTCTCAGATCCCAAGCAAGATGGAGAGATTGAATTGTGAGATGCTGGGATTGGATGAATTATAATTTCTTCATTCTCATCTCCCGTCCTAAGAGTCTATTCTCTTTCCCTGAAGGGTGTTCTGAGCAGGCCGTGGAAGGCATTAGGTGGAATGAGTTAAGATTTAAGGTCTGGATTGCCTAGAGGGTTCAGTGAGCAAGTGTTTCCTTTAGCAAACTGAAGCAGGAAAGTAGACCTTAGCTAGGGGTCCGGCAGTGAGGGGCTCTGAAATACAAGGAGCTTTCCCAGAGCCTTGGCTGCCCACAGAGTTCCCTCCCTGCACGACATACGAATGACCCATTCAAATGCTGTTCAGCTGTCTGAGTCTTTGGGGAATAGCACTCATCTCCCTTGTTGCCCATCGTAGGAGTCACCACCCCACTCCCCGCTTAATCAAACCTCTTCACCAGAAACCAGCAACTGGGAGCATGAGCCTTAGTGTCCTAACTTACGCTGGTGCTACTCTTCAGTCTTCAGACCAGATAGAATTGTGGCAGGTGCTCTAGGAGAGAATTCTCCTCAGCCTCTCTGATCACCACCACCCAGCTGTCTGCGTACTTAATTCCCCTTACAAAGCAGTTTGGAGCAACAGGACCCAGGAGTCCCTGGTTTCAGATGCTCTCCAGCCTGAGTCACCACCGTACTGACTTTTTACAGCAAGAGTTCCACCCAAAGTCTCTTGCCTCTCCCTCAGATGGGTGCTGGTGGGAGAAGGGGACAGGTGAGGAGAGGATGCTGGAGGCATTTTTGTGTGTGTCCTTGCCGGGCCCATGCTAATACCTGCTCTTAGCTGTGCTGACATCCACTTTGAACTGTAATCCTTCTCAGCCTTATCTCTTTGCCTCTAATGGACCCTGGAAAGCAAATGTGGCCTAAGGCCTCAGTCTCCCCTGCAACCTGTGGCTTCTCGTAGCAGAATTTCTTAACCTATATCAGATGGAGTCTGTGATGGCTTCAGAATGACTGGATAATTTACAAATATTTTTGATCATAGCTTGCATCAGGAATTCTCAGAGGGCTCTGTGACTCAAAAAAGTTGAAGATCATTGCTCAGCAGGGCTCTCATCTCTCGAATCAGGGATCCAGCACAGCACAGGAAACAGAAGTCAGAAATAGAGAAAGACTCTCAGGGATGGAAATGTGGAGCGTGGAGATGGTGCCACAGTATCTTTGGGTCCAGAGTTATCTCACAGCTTAAGTGAGACTGTGTCTGAGATGGAAGAGAGGAGTGGAAGGAGGGCGGGAGGGAATGCCCTTGGAAAGGTTCTGTCAAGCAGGGATGGGCAGAAGGTAGGCAGGGTCAAATTCTTCTCCACTCTGAAATAGCTCACAGATTGTTCTGCCAGTGTGTGCAACCTCTCTCTAACCTAGGAGGTTGTTGAGGTTAGAACCCAGATAGGAACTAGGAAATCTGAAGCCTCCGTTTCAGAGAATCCTTTGCCGGAAGCCAGGCGTTTCACTGCAGGCCATCTGCTCCCTGAAATTTCTGCTCCTTTCTACCAGTCCCTGAGGCAGAGGCTGTAAGGACGTTGGGAGAGGGACTGAGAAGAAAGAGTAAAAACAAAGAAAAACCCCAACCTTGTGTATCAGGTGCATTAGAGTTAGTAAAGAAGGTGAGGACCAGTAACAGCCCAGTCCGTGCTGGAAGTTCAGAGTGGATAGGTTGGAAGATTTCCCCTCTCTTACAGGTCGTGTCCTGTAACCGAGAGGCCCTGGGAGACGGAGCCATGAGGGTGTGGCAGTGAGGATGGCAGCGTTCTGGAAAGTGGGAGTTTTCAGTCAGCCCTGAGCTCAAATAGCTAATTGCTATTTACTAACTCTGCACACTTGAGCACTTACTCTATTTGACCTTCAGTTTCATCAGCTAAGATGCCTCCCTACTTTATAGGGCTGATGTAAGGATTAAATAAGAAAACATAAAAGTCACTGACACAGAATAGGCCCTCAATCGATGTTATTTTCTTTGCTTTGGACGTCTGTTCCACCCTGGACAGAGCCTCCATTGGATTGTCCCCATGGTGTGGTGCCATACATCCCTGCACATGGTCCACAAAACTTCTGTACTCACACCCCCTACTCATCCTGGGTTGCATTTGCACACTCATCTGCACACATACAGCATCCTGTACCATCACAGCTGAGCTGAGGGCAGCCTTTCTGATAGGTGAGATGAGGAACCGGCTTGCTAATGCCTGGACAAGCTGTGGAAGTGCTCGTCTTAGTAAGCTTGTTACACTAATGGGCTTCACCCTTCAAAAGTATTCTGGAGAAGCTGTGATAGGAGACAAAGGGGCTGTGATGGGAGTAGCTCCACAGTCTTTTCCCTGAGATTAAATGTGTTTCTTGAGGGATACTCTCCACCCATCACTGCCAAGGAGACCTTAGTCTGTGCCCGGATTGTGATGTCTGAAGCTTTGCTGTCCAGTATGGTACCGTTGGCCACACGTGACTATCGAATGCCTGTAAAGGTAAGTAGTACAGCTGAGGAATGGAATTTTAAATTTATATAATTTTAACTTAAAATTTAAAACAGATTTTGATTCCCTTATTGGAAAATGTTTTATGTTTGAAAAAAACTTGGATGTGTGAATACACTTTCTCTATAGTGACCTGTATGAAATCCAAATACAGATTTTCTGGTGAAAATTTAGTAACTGAGTTGTGATGTTGAGATGTACTGTAAGTGTAAAATATACATTGGATTTTACAGACCTAATATGAAAAAGTGTTAAATATTTTATGATTGATTTTATATTGATAATATATTGAAATGATAATAGTTTGGGTACATTGGGTTAAATAGTATTGAAATTAAATGTATCTGTTTCATTTTGATTTTTTAATGTAGTAGCTACTAGAAAACTTGAAATTACATAGGTGACTTGGATTCTGTGTCTGTTGGATAACTCTGCTCTGGAGACTTTGGGACTCCACAGACTTTGGGCAGAAGCATGTCCCAGCGCCAGACAGTCATCTGCTCCTCACTGCGGCAGGGGCTTCCCAGAGATTTCTCTGAACGGCATCGCTGCTTCCGCATTGCAAAGAGGGCAGCGAGAGTGGGAACCTTCAGCATCTGACTCTCAAGTCCCAACCAATAAGCTGCTGGTGGGAGGTTATGGTGAAGAGGGGGAGGGCTGTGCCCCAAAAAACCTCTCTGGTACATTATAAACTGGAGAAGGGGAAGTTGCTGGGATGCTAACTGGGTTGTGTGTGCATGGTGGGTGTGGAGGTTGCAGGCTCAGGGAAACTAATTTCTCAAGCAGGTCAGTTTCTCCAGCCTTACTCTCCTGTCTGCCCGGTTCTCACATTCACCTCTGGTCCTACCCACATATTCCTATCTCTGCCCCACTAAAGAGTGGCCTGCCTGTGAAGTCCAGCTTCACCTCCTCAGTGGCACTGAGTGTCTCACCTATCGGGCAGTTTGGGCTGGGAATCTAATGAGTGGAGTCTCATCAGAGCAAGGACAACAGCGCAGGAATCAACCAGAAAGCTCACAATGCTTGCATCTGGTTTGGTGTAGGGGTGGGTAGGAGGAAACTAAGGACGCTGGGCAGATGCTGCTGCGGAGAAAGGTTCCCTGGGACCACGTGATTCTTCCCTTCTCAGTCCCTCCTCCCACTCCTCTCCTCTCCCTGTGACTCCTCCCTCCCAGTGATGCTGAGGCTGTTGCTCTATCCCTTGAGCTTCCAGCATCTCTACTTCTTTTTGGGCTCTGCTTTGCCCTCTGTTTGAAGCACAGCCAGTGGCACTCAGCACTTTCACCTCCCACTCCACCTCCCCATCTGGGGGTCTCTGTAAGTCACTGACCTCTACCCGGAGAGAGCTTCGCACTGCGGGAAGCACAGAACCAGAGGAAGCTGCAGAAGGATGGTGAAAATTAACTAGGCAGGCAGTTACTGCTGCTCCCGCTTCCCACCGCTTCTCACTACAGCCTGCTGTGCCCTCCTCCCTGTTCCTCCAAGCCTCCTCTCTGCAGTGTCCTGGGTCTCTCTCCTTTGACAACTGCAGGATTCTTGTATTTGTCAGTCATTAACTTGGAGTTCTGGCTTTCCCGCAAGGGCACTAAGGATCTGTCACACAAAAATGATGGGGGGCTCCCATGGAGAAATGGCAAAGAGGGGCAGCAGCTGGGTGTCCCAGGTGGAATTTCTATGTGGGGATCCCCGGGAAGGTGGAGGATTGCTCCTTTTCCAATTCCAGAGTTGGGGAGTGAAAGGTAAAGCACTGAGGCTGAAACGGGGGGCTGGGAGTGCTGAGATCCCTCCAGGCATGGTGAGGGGGTGCGGTGGGGGGGGGAGAGTGGAGGTAGGAGGGCACTCCTTACCCTGTTTGTCAGGCAGGTTAGATGGAGGCAAGGCCACTGGGACACAGGATCAATGGGAAGCAGGAAGAGAAGGAGGGGGAGATAGACCAGACATGAGGGTAGGAAATAGACGGAAGTAAAGAAAACGCCAGAGATGACATTAGTTTTGGCAGCTACTGTTGTGGCCCTTTGGCAGCAGGTTTAATGATCTGGGAGACAGAGGAAGGTGGTGGAGGCTCCTGCAGACTCAGTGCAGTGCGTGGCCTGTCCTCCCCATCCCACAGTCTGTCCCCAGCCTCCTCTCTGTAGCCTGGGGCTCCTTGCCTCTTTATTCCTGCACCTAGGGGCAGGTTTGGGGTGGGGAGCAGAAAAGAAAGGGACTCTGCCTGGCTGACAAACAGAGACTCCAAGGAGCAAGTGGCACTTCCCAGCCCCACCTCTGAAATAATCTGAGAGCTGTGGCCGGCGCTTGGTGTTGGTTATTAAAGGATATAAGCGTGTGTGAAGAAAGCCAAGTGGTTAGACGAGCAGACTAGAGCTTTGGTTCTGTTTCCTGTATTGTGCGCGAAGGGGGACGAAGGGAGGGCTGGAGTAACGATGGGGTCTGCGTCTGTAGCTCCCTGGGACCCTCAGTGAAGAAATGACAATGCTGTCCTCAGACCGGAAAGGCTCAGGAAGCAGATCTCTAGCAGGAGGCATTGCTAATTACCGGCAGAACGCAGGCGGGAGGGCGGTGATGCTCTGGATCCGGTTCTGGTCCAAGTGGTCTTGGTTCTGTCAATCCCTTTGGTATCTGAAGCGGGCTGGGTGGGTTCCCCACATGGGAAGGAAGGGTCAGAAGAGCTTGGCAGTGAGCCGGTTACCCCCCGAGTTTTTATCCCCAGAGGGCCGAGGTGCCACAAAGTCAAAGGTCACGTGATGTTTGACCCGGCCCTTGCCCTTGCTCCAAAGGGCAATCAGGCCAAAGCAGAGGGTCACTGAGGTGAGGAAGGGGAGGAAGCCAACTGCTAGCACCATGGCCACACCTCTGCTATCCAGAAAAAAAGGCCCCGGGATTCCTGGCACGGTGATGTTGGGGTCGGAGAGCGAGCCGTTTGCTGGTTCCACCTGGATGACTTCCAGCCAGGTCCTCAGAGAGTCGTTCCCAGCGACATTGCTGACCACACAGACATAGGGCCCCCTGTCCCGTAGCTGCACTGAGCGGATCTCCAGTGTCCCATCCTCTAGGACCCTTACTCTCCCAGCCCTGCCCAGCCAAGCCCCGTGAGGCCTCATCCAGGAGACAGTGGGGGCTGGGTCTCCATCTCCAGAGCAGGAGAAAACCGCATGCCCACCCTCCTCTGCAATGACCCATCGAGGCCCCGACTTTCGGATCAGGGCTGGTTTGCAGGTGAAGTGCCCCGGAGGCAGGATGTCCGAAAAATCCCTCAGGCTCTTCCCTTGGACATGCTGCGGGCCAGCACAGGCAGGGGGGGACGTGCCAAAGTCCAGGCGGCGGCGGAGCCGGAGCAGCCAGAGGAGGCGGCAGTCACAGGTCAGGGGGTTGCCAGACAGCCTCAGGGTGACCAGTTTGTCTGGAGAAGGGAAGGCTGTTTCCTCTAGTGTCTGAAGGGCGTTATCTGCCACATCCAGGAGGTGGAAGGCCGTCAAGCCGTGGAAGGCGTGGGCGGCAATGGAGGTGAGGCACGCCCCTGACAGGCGTAGCTCCTGGAGCCGCACGAGGGGACTGAGCCTGCGGGCTGGGATGGCTGAGATGGGATTCTGAGACAGATCCAGGACCCTGAGGAAGCTCAGGTGGTGCAGTGCTTGGAAAGGCACCGAGCTCAGATTGCAGCGGGTGATGGCCAGGCTGCTGAGATTGAGCCCAACTAAGCTCCCAGGGTCCAGAGCCTCCAGAGACGGCCAGTGGTGGATCTCCAGCTCCTTGAGCTGCCCCAGTCCCCTCAGTGCCCCAGCTGGCAGCCTCCCAATGTCCAGTTCTCGAAGCCTTAGGGCAACTAGTGCCGGGAGACGGGCGAGGGCTGGGCCGGGCACTGTGCTGAGGTTGCAGCGCTCCAGGGTGAGGGTGCTCAGCTTCGCCAGCCCTGCAAAGGCCCCCGGAGCCACAAATACCAGGTGGTTGTCCCCAACCTCCAGCTGCTGGAGGCTGCCTAGCTCCCCAAAAGCTCCATCTAGGAAGAGGACGATTTGGTTGAGGCGGAGGTCCAGCAGGGTCAGGGCAGAGAGGCCTGAGAAGACCCCAGGCCCCATGATTCTGAGCCGATTGCCCTGCAGCCTCAGGGTGAGTAGGCTCTGCAGGCCATGGAAGGCCCCAGGCTCAAGGGTGGAAAGCTGGTTGTAGCTGAGGTCCAGTTCCTGGAGCAGGCTCAGGCGGGAGAGCATTCCCCGCTGGAGCCCCCACAGGCGGTTCCCACTCAGGTCCAGGAGCTCAGTGTCCCGTGGGAGTCCGCCAGGTACAGCCTCCAGTTGCCTGTGGCCACAGAGCACAGCCTGGGGCTGGGAGGTGCAGTCGCACACAGCAGGGCAGCTGCCACCGCTCCCTCCAGGCAGGAGGAGGAGGAAAAGGAGCGGGGGCCATGGGGGCCAGGCTGGCTTTGGAGCTGTGGCCGCATCCATTCCCTCTTCAGTCCTGGAACAGATGATGACATGGCTCTTTTTGGAAAGTGGCTTCAGATGACGGTGACCCTGGACTTCCTGGCCCTTCTTAGAGGGGAGAGAAATGGGTCTATCTCTCTCAGCATTGCCAACAAGTAGGGCACAGAACCAGGAAGCATTCTTGTGTGCCACCTCCCAGGGGCTTCCTGGAGTTTCTCTTTGGGGAATCTCTACTTTCCTCCTTCTTCCAGCCCTAGATAACCAGCCAAGTGCTTACTGGCTCATGGAACCCTAGCCAAGCCTGATTTCTGTGGGGAAGGACTTACGGGGATGGGGCAGGGAACAGCAGGGAGGTAACTGAGTCTTTCTGTAATGGGGTTTCCTGATGCCTGTCAGATCCAGGAGTATCTCAGGTTTCCTCTCCCTGATACCTGCTCTCCTCAAGCTCTGCTCTGTCCCTCTCTGCCCACCCTTATTCTCCCATGTTACGTACCCATAGCTTTTGCTTAAGGCTCAGGGAGATTGCGTCCTTGGCCCGGAGTTCCCTGTCCTGACTGGAGAGGTCCTCACCTTGACTAGCTCACCCAAGGCTGGGAAACATGCAGGCCTCAGCTCCACCCCCATGCTGAGCCCTCCTCCAGCCTGGCCCAAGGCCTGAGCCCTGGCCTAGCAAAATCCAATCTCCCCAAAATGCCTGTGTGGACAACGGCCAAGCTGTACATTAGCTGTGGCGCAGGATGCAGGGGGCACTTGACGCGGAAGCTGGGAATCCCCTGCAGGAGCCCGGTGGCAACTGCTTCTCCACTACAGATGATGTTGGGGTGTGCGAGGGACCCACAGGATGCCCGGGTTTTGAGTTCTGTGGCTTGGTCTTCAGTCTTGGGCTTCCCTCATATCCCTCCTTAATGGCGTTTTGATTCTGGTCCCGTGTGTGGATCTGAGGGAGAGCTCTTGCCCCTTTTGGCCTGAGCTGCCTGAGAAATTCCCACGAGACAGACTGTGGACCCGGGAGCATAGTTAATTTCGGAGAGAGAGCATCTGACGGGGCGCTGTAGGGTGGGGAGGAAGGGAGCCCTTGGCTGGCACAGCAGATATCTGGGCACAGGCCATGTGCAGAGCCTGTCGACTTACAGCTGGTTTCTGGGTACCAGGGTCTGGGAAATCTCAGGCAGATGGTGACTACAATGGCTGAGGTGACAGAGGAGAAGGGGCCCTCTAGGTGGTGAGGGCCTCTGACTCACCCTGTTCATTGTCAACAGGGACCCCGAGGAAAGGGAGGAGGACTGGAATTGGCAAGGGATGGCCACAGAGGTAGGAGCAAAAGCCCACAGATGCTCCCTGGGAGACACTGCATCTGAGTTTCTCCTGAGCGACAATCCTGATCACCTTTGGGCTTATGGGCGTCAGGCTCTCTGGGCTGTACGGGGTCAGCTTTCTACTTACATGCCCTATTTTTTCCCATGTGGAACTTAGGAGAGGCAGTTTAAGAGACGGTCATTTCTTCCCCTTTCCTTCCCACTCTCCACCCTCTGGAAGGATCATTCTAGCAGCCATCCTACAGCTAGGAAAACTAAAGAAAGAGGCCCAAAGAGCAGAGGGATAGAGAACACTGGTCTGAGGCTTGGGGATGAGAAAGTAACATGGGGCAAAGACCGCAGGGCAGACTCCTCTCTCCCATCCTGACCTAACAGGTCTGTGTGGCATGCCCAGAGCTCTCCCAGGAGAGGTGGCCCAGCCTCCCTTGTTCTCCCTGGGCTTGTTCTGGGAAGTCCACCTGACAGCTAGCTCTTCATCACTACTGCTGCAGTTGCTGCTCATCCTCTGCTCTGCCATCAGCAAAAGTGCAGTGAAGCATGTAACCCAGCTTTCTTCCTTCCTGCTCCGGTGAGTTCCCCTGAGTCCCAAAGCCTGCTGGGCCAGGGGCTGAGGGAGCTGGAGCAACCTATTTTATTTCTACGGTGGCTAATTTAATCACAAACTTCCCTTGCCAACCTCCATGGCCGCAGGACCGGCTTCCGGCCACTTTGCAGAAAGAGAGATATCAGAACCACTGTATTCTCTCCTTCAGTGGGATGGGGTCTGGGGCATCACCGCTCAAGGATAGAGAGCTTTCTTCTTGTGTTTATGTGGCAGTCCAGAGACACCTTGGACCTGGGTATCCTGTATCCTCTTTAAAGCACACCTGACTGATGGATGGGAACTGTGGGGAGAGGGGTTCCTGGGGAGATCCACACTGGTTATGGAGAAAAACCCTTCCAGAGAAAGGGGGAGTACTGGGGAGATGGAAGGGAGGTCCCCTTGGAGTCCTTCCACCCAGGGGCACTTAGGACATTTTAGTTTCCCCTTCAAAGTCCCATGGGGTCAGGATTAATTGTTGGCAGTGTGGGGGCCCAAACCCTCTTGCCTTGAGGGGCACACTAGTCTGGCCTGTCTCCAAGAGTGTTATGGAAAAGGGCAGCTGCATCTTTGGGACAGAGGGTGGGGGCACTTACCGGAGAAGCTGGAGGGTGGCATCAAGTTGGGCGCTGCATCTGTCCAGCGCTGGGGGCCCTGTCCCATTCGAGCTGCGCCTCAGGCCCCTGCCCCTTCCCCGCGTGCCTCACCCCCTGCGGCCCGCCAGCCGCCTGCTGCCTGCCGCTGCTGCTGCTGTTGCTGCTGCAGCCGCTGCTGCCAAGACTGAGGTGGAGAAAAGAGCCAGAAAGCATTTCTCCTTTTTTTTTTTTTTTCCTCTCTTTTTAAACCAGGCGAGAATGAGTCTGCAGCAACCCTGTTGGTGCAAAATAAATAAATAAAGCAACCAGGGAGGGCTGCAGCAAGCACCACTACAGGCTGGCGAGTGGCAGGGGAGGGTTCTAAGAGGGAGGCTCTGGTGCCAGGGAGGGGTCAGGCAATGGCAAGAGCGGCAGCCTCTAGGTGATCCCTCTGACATCCTGATCCCCCCTGGGGAGCTCATGCCAGCCGCCTTCCCGAGGATTGTCTTTTGGTCTCCCAGATGTGGAGCAATTCTGTGCAATCTATAAATCTAAATGTTCCCTGTGGGTATCATCTGTGGAAAGTTCTCAGTCTACAGCATCTCCCGTGGAGCTCAGTTTGAGGCTCTTACAGTGGGGGTTCCTCACTGGGGAACTGCTCCACCTGGGGAGAAACCGAGGCGGTGCGGTGAGGGTGGGTTGGATCTGTATCATGCTGAGGGATTGCTGAGCTGGAAACCTGGGTCTTGCTGGAGGAATGAGACTGGAGAGCAGGTATGCAGGTGATCTAATTTAAGGATTTCCCCCCACACCCCTGACACACACACCTCTTGCCTTTAAAAATCATTTTATAAAGAATGGCACAAGTTGGGGTTTATGTTTACTCAGATGAACCCATCCCCTGAGAGGAAGCAATCCCACCCCCCACCCTCCAACCCCATGACCACCCATCATTGCTGTCTATCCCCCAGGGGAGGGTTCACAGCTGTTTATGAAGCCAAGAGAGGTTCTGGGCAAGATCACAGCTGGGGAAACTGGCCCGGGCCCTGCACCCCCGGTGTCCTCCATGCTGGAGTCAGCGGTGCCCCATGACGGGGTGCTGGAATTGCATCTGCTTCCTTCTCCGCAACAAGAGCAGCGCCGGTGGGTAGGCCAGGAAAGTCCTCCGGGGTCTGTCCTTGCCTTCCGACTGACGAGTGCCAGCACCTCTGCTTCTCTTGGGGCTTCTAATGGTAGAAGACAGCTGGAGCTGGGGTGGTGTTTGGATCACCCCAGGCCCAAGATCAGTGGACCGGAGCACCATGGAAATGTCTGGGGGAGTCCCTCAGGATTGGGACTTTCCCTGAGGCCACTAGGCTCCTCCGAGCTGTGGCCTGAAGGATGAGAGATTGTGTCAGGTTCACGTGTCTCTGGAACTGCATGATTGCAGCTGAGTCTGTATGTGTTTCACCTGTGTATGGGTGTGTGTCTGATCAGTTTTGTGCCAGCCCCTATAGTCTATTGTTAAAGTGCACATAAGAGGTGTGAGTTTCAACTCTATATCCAGGATGCTGTTGGCCTTCATTATACCCTAGTCCCACACCTAAACCCCACAAAACAATGATCCCCAGCCTCTCATCCTCATCCCATCCAGTTTTTGGTTAGACCCCAGGAAAAGGGTAGGGTGCCCAAACACGTCCTTGCTGAGCTGGGAGGAAGGCAGAGGCAGAAGACATAAAGCTCCAGATTCATTTTATACAGGTCCTCCTGGGCTCTCACCGCCAGGCTCTGAGCTTGATCCATCTCCCCCAGCCGAAGCCCAGAGGGAAATGCAATGAGGTATTTCAAAGGCCTATTCTTAGCTTCTGAGCTTCTGAAGGAATTGAGTTCTATCAATCCAGGGAGCCCTGGATGCCCCTGCTTTCTTGAGGATGCCTTGGTCCCCCAGAAGTTCTTATATCCCAGCCACCCCACGCCTTCCAGAAGCTGGGTGTGAAGGAATACAGGAAACAAGACAGTCAAAGCTGAGGCAGGAGATGGTGTTGTGCCAGCCCCAGCCTGTGAACAGAAAGCCAGCTGTGGCATCTGCTCACTCCCAAAGAGCTGGTGGGGACCACCCTCCAGGGTTCATGGGAAAGGAAAAGGCTGAGGGTGGAACGGGGTCCAGGGAGGTGGGCCAGCAGGCCACAGGGAGAGGCAAGGAGTCCCTCCTTCAGGTCACTTGGACAGCCCCACAGGTGACTCCGTTTCAGTGCTGAAGAGCTCCTTGTAGAGTGGGGGGAAAGCGGCTTGGACCACGATGGGGTGGAGGTGCTGGAAGATCTGCAGCCTTTCCACGTGCTGGCTACACAGGCTCCGGAGCTTCCCCTTGGGCGGCAGCTGGAGATGGGTTAATGGGGAAGGGAGAGTCAATACTTCTGCTCTCCTCAGAGAAAAGACGTCTCCTCGTCCTTCCTGGGCCGGGACAAACCCTCCTTGTCTTCCCCTTGTGGATTGGCACTTTGGCATCAGCCAGATCCCACTGGTAGAAGTATGTGTGTGCTCAGGACACCGGAGGGACGTGAGAGTGGGTGGGTGAAGTGCAGTGAAGCCCTCAAACCGTGCTCCCGAAACTTCTAGAATGAACCTCCTTAAACACTCTAACAAGCACTTCAGGCTTTTGTAAGAGTGACGGTCTGTGACTCTGGTTGTATGCTGTCACATGCCTCTGCCTTGTGCATGTTGTTCCTCTCCGCCCGTTCCTAATTCTTACCCTCCAGTGTCCCCTCTCCTATTTCCCTAACTACCCTCATCTGAATCAAGGGCCCTTCATTTGGGCTTTCCTCTGTGTAGCACTTACCACACTGCAGGAAAACGGTCCAATATGTCTGCCTTCCACCCTAGATTTCAGCTCTAGCTGGGGTCTCTCTTTCTCTGTCTCCTTTGTACCTATCATAATGCTTAGCGCATGGGAAAGGCTCAATAACTCTTGGTTTGAACTAAGCAGACTTTCTAAGCAGGCACCTAACACTGCAAATAGCAAACCGCTGCTGCCAGCACGCAGCCAAAGGGGAGATGGAAAAGGTGCAGACACCTGTGAGCAGACGGAGGCAGGGAGCCCTCACCGGAGCACGGCCAAAACAACAGTTTCTCTCTCGCAGTCTCCTCTATAACCAAGGGGCTGAAAAATGTCTCTTGGCCGGGCGCGGTGGCTCATGCCTATAATCCCAGCACTTTGGGAGGCTGAGGTGGGTGGATCACGAGGTCAAGAGATCGAGACCATCCTGGTCAACAAGGTGAAACCCCGTCCCTACTAAAAATACCAAAAAATTAGCTGGGCATGGCGGCGTGCGCCTGTAGTCCCAGCTACTCGGGAGGCTGAGGCAGGAGAATTGCTTGAACCCAGGAGGCGGAGGTTGCGGTGAGCTGAGATTGTGCCATTGCACTCCAGCCTGGGTAACAAGACTGAAACTCCATCTCAAAATAGATAAGTAAATAAAAAATGTCTCTTGCCAGCCATTGCCTCCCTCCTCCCTCCCCCAGCTTAGTTTTCTTGGAAAGAGACAGGGAAAAGCAGGCAGCAGGGCATGATCCCTTCATATCTCCGGGATCCATTCTCTTCCTCTCCGCTGCTTTATTCGGAGCTTCCTTCCTTCATTCATTCAACAAATATTTGCTGAGAACCCACCTGAATCTGGTGATATATCAGATATATCGGTTAATAAAATATAATCTCTACCTTGATTAAATTTACATTCTGGTGAGGGACCCAGAAAATAAATATGTCACGTGTCAGATAGTAAGTTCTTAAAAGAAAACGAAAGCTTTTCATCAGGGGTTAATAGTTAGGAAAAACCTCTCCTGAATGAAGAGATGGAGCAAACCATTTGGAAAACTGGGGGAAGAACCTTCCGGGCGACTGCAGGAGCAGGAACGGAAGCCCTGCGGCTGGGCTTAATGTGTTCAAGGAACAGCAAGGAAGCAAGTACGGCTGGAATGGGTGGTTGGTTGAAGGGGCAGTGGAAGATCAGGTGAGAAAAGAAGGCAGGGACCATGTTATGAGCCACTTGGCCATGATACGGACTCTAGATTTGATTCTCAACGTGACAGGCAGCTACGGGAGGGCTGAGAACAGGAGTAGGGGCCAGGCGTGGTGGCTCACACATGTAATCCCAACACTTTGGGAGTCTGAGGCAGGAGGATCACCTGAGCTCAGGAGTTCGAGACCAGCCTTGCCAATATGGTGAAACCCCGTCTCTACGAAAAATACAAAAATTAGCCAGGCATGGTGGCGGGTGCCTGTAATTGCAGCTACTCAGGAGGCTGAGGCAGGAGAATTGCTTGAACCTGGGAAGTGGAGGTTGCAGTGAGCTGAGATCGCATCACTGAACTTTAGCCTGGGTGACAGAGCAAGACTGCCTAAGAAAAAGAAAAAAAAGAACAGGAGTGGGGCATGATGAGATTGCATTTTTCAAAGGGCTCCTGTGGGTGCTCTGTAGGTGCGGTGTGGTTCCTACAGGGCAGACGAGGGTGGAACAGGGCCCCAGGTAGGAGGCCCCTCTTAAAGTCCAAGTGAGAGCTGAGGGCTGGTAGGGGCCGGGGTGGTGGTAATCGTAAGGGAAGTGATTTGTTTTGAAAGTAGATCCAAACAGATTTGCTTTCCAATTGCTCTCCCGGATTCCTGTCTCTCTTCCTTCAAATCCATCCTGTAGCAGATTAAAGTTTGAGTTCTTCAGAGCACAGACTGTGTAAGTCACTGCTGTATCCTTTAACACCCAGCCCTGTGCCTGGCACATAGCAAGGGCCTGCTTGAATAATTACATAAATGGGTCCTTTACACTGGTTCCGAAGTAAATTGCCTAAATAACATCTCTGATTGTGTCATTTTTCTAGCCTTTGGAGCTCCCTGTGGCCTAGAAATAAAGCTTTAACTCTTGTATGGCATTAAAAGTCCTCTCTGATTTGCCCCTGACCTAATTTTCAGGCTGATTTTCCAGTGCTCTTCTGCCCCATTAGTCTAGCCCAGCTCCTAATTTTACACCTTAGTTAGGATGCGCCGTGAGCTATTATCTACATATACGCTGTTTTGCCTGCTTATTTTTGCCCCTATTATTTCCTAAGCCTAGAATGCCTGCCCCACCCCCATAAATGCCTGTTAAAATCTTATATCATTCATGGCCTAGTATAAATGTCACCGTCCCTAGAAAGTATTTATGACCCACTCCTTTTACCCCCAAATTATTTTTAATCCCTGTTTTATGCTCTGATAACATTTTTCCAGTATCTCTTAT